TTTGAAAATTGCTAAGAGAGTAGATCTTAAAAATTTCTCATTACAAGAAAAAAATTTTTTCTAGCTATGTATGGTGATGGATGTTACTGGACTTACTGTGGTCATTCTGCAGTGTATACAACTGTTGAATCATTATGTTAATACACCTGGAACTAATATAATGTTATACATCAATTATATTTCAATTTAAAGAAAAGAAAATGAGACATGTGGAAAATTTTGTGTCATTCAGAGGGCAAATAAAATAAGCAATCTGAACCAAAAAGTAGCGGCTCCAGAGCCTGAGAAATTTCCTTAAATAATGAATTTCAATCGACTGCATTTTTTAAAATCTTAATTCAATTTTCTGGATACATTCATTTTTGAATGAAAATTTATGAATTGATGGGAAGGTTAAAGAACAAATACTAGACGTTGGTAGGTCAATAAAGTTTGAATTGTACAATTAAGAAAAAAGAGTGTCACAAATGTATACACAGTTAATGTGGTGAATACTAAGTTATGGGGAACCACCCAGTGCTGTGGCTGGCAGAAACCCTGGCATTCGGTTTGTTTGCTATAAGCTATTTTACACATTGCTAAGTAAAAGAAGTATTCCCTGTTTCATATCTTATTGCCGTACCTAAAGACAACACTTCCCTTTGATGTATTCACTAGATATTTGCTGAGTTTGGTTGGTAAGGAACTTTATATGTCAAGAGAATATACTAAATTCATAAATATGTACATACTTGAATGGGCTTTCGATAGATGTTGTTGTGACTTTAAAGTGCTTGTATCTTCTGGCATTCATTCTCTCATTTGTAGTAATACCTAAACATGATATCTGAGAGGTAAGAGAAAGCAAGCCATTAACTCTGAATATTTAATGTGAAGTAAGTTAATACTCAAGAGGACCACCAGGATAGAGAGAAAATGGTGACGATGATGATAATGAAGTCTGCTTCGGTTCTCCATCAGATCATCAAACTAGTTTACACAGTATCATTTGACTCTGTGAAAAGTAGCCAGTTAACAGGGAAAATACTTAAAAACAGGTTAATTATTGTGCAGGTGGAGAGACATTACGTATATATGACCTCTCCATCATCACCTTTAAAAAAGAACTTTAAAAAAACCTAATTAAAAAAAAGACTGTTGAATAAATACTGATATTTGTAGGTAATAAACTACTACTATTAAAACAAACACAAAATTAATGCTACCATCAATCTAAAGCTCACACATATATCCAATAGATTAATGTAAATCAGGAAAAAATATTTTGCCAAGAGTAATACTAAAAATTCAAAGTTTATAAAATAAGAAGGAGGAGGAGAGATGGAGAGAAAGAGGGAAGAAGGAAGGAAAAGTAAATTGAAAATTTTAATTCTCAAAAAATTTGAATTATGAAAAGCAGGAGTGATCACACACAAAGAGAAAACACCGTTATCTTTTAAGCGAGGAGTGAATTTTGAAGAGTTCTCAGCACACTGAAGAACGAGTGATGCCCCTGCACATACCTGGTACATCTGACACATGAGCAACACAGCCACCCACATGAAATGAAAAACACTGTTCAGAAACATCCAGAACATCCAAGGTGAACACGTGGCAATTTGAGTAATGTATGTCCAAAATCCATCCTTGGTGTAACTGGTCTCGCAGTGGAGTCCCCAGTCTAAAATCAGAGCAGAAGTACTCACATTTACTCAGTAATCATCCAAGCACCTCGTGTAGACATCTGTGGTAGGCACCACTTAAAAAACATGACCTAAGAATTTAAACTGATGACTTTCAGTGCAAATCTTTTTATATTCTTAAATAATGACATTATATATTCCTGAAAAATAATATCAAAAACAGAAATGGAAAAAGCAGCAATCTTAAAAAAAAAGTACTTTAACAATATACAGTTTTTATTTGATTCATACTGCATATATACAATACTTAAAAAAAATTCCTTTATACAAAGAGGATGAGAGATGTAAGTGAGAATTCCTTGGAGGGGAGGCATATAACACAACAAGATCACCCTGGTGAGGGGGGCTTTTTCCAAAACAAAATCTATTCTTTGAGAGCTGCTGCTATGAAGAACCACTGTTATTAGCAGGATCATACTCTCTTCCAAGTTTACTGGGCCAGAAATTAGGTCACGATCTCTGACCGAATCTTTCTCTCTGTTAATCTCTATTTGAGGAAGAAGCCTCCCTTTTCAATAAGAGAGATTATTTATAATATCTGTGGGAGTAGGAGGACTAGAAAATCATCGAAGACTTACACTAAGTACCACCAAGCCCTGAAGGACAGTAACTAGTATCTTCATTTAAATTCTTTCCAAATTATGTTCTCAATGCAATAAAAACCTATCATTTTCTCTAAGATACATCACCCACATGATCAAGTGAATGACAACTTATTCTTAACCTTTTAAATATTCTCTAATAGGAAATAATTATATCTTACTCTTAAAAATATTTCAAGTTCTATGCAAACTTAACTTCAACTATATTTTCCCAGCTGTCTGGTGAGAAAGAGCAACTAACACAATCATAAAATCTATAAACTTCCAGAGTAAAGCAAACATGTGATGTGAAAAACGTTGGTGTATTTTACCCAGAAGCTTTTCAAAGCCTATTAAAAGATAAGTAACTGATAATTCTGTTGCTTATACTATAGGTTAACCATGTTTGATAGTTCTGTATCTATTTTTTCTTTATGCTTCATTGTAGTGAAGTATCCCAAACCATAATATTTAGCTAAAAGATGCTTAAAATTATCTTATTTTTTTGTTAATATCGTAAAGGATGAGTATGATAACACTTGTTTTAAGAAGAGAAAAAAACTAATTGTACTCACAAGAAATACAACCATAAATCATCCAGCAGATCATAAAAAGCAAGAAGAACAAGTACCCCATAAAGTATCTGTGGTTGCCTGCACCTAAAAAAACAACACAGAAGCAATTTTTTTCAGCTAAGAAAAAATAATTGGAAATGCACCTAGGGGCAGGATGTGGGTAGGAAAATGCCAAGAGCGAGATACACCTTGGACAATAATCATGTACGTTATTTATTTTAGAAAATGTTCTTCAAGGAAATAAATGTTTTAATAAAAACCTTAAAACAAAAGAATGCTTATAATTACACACAAAGATGTGGTGACTGTAATGATACTCATTCTGAAGTTTCAAAAGAGTCTTAATGAACCAAACAAACCACAATTTTAATTCTGCTGTTTGCTTCTGAGGTTTAAAATAACCCTATTTTAACTTTACTTTTATAAACTTTATAATCCAACTTTTTAAAGGCTTTTTCCCCAATAGAGTCACACAATCTTTGTAACGTTTCCCTCCTGTCATCTTATAAAATCCCCAAGGCCATCTCTCAGACCGCTGAGTTTATCTCCTTGGACTACACCACCCTTGAACACCGACGTATGCAGTTATCTGTCCTCCTCTGCCTCTGTACATCCATTCAAATTTAATTGCCTTACTTTCTCCAGTTTAACTAAAGGACAAAACTACCTGCCTCCTTATCAATTTCACTGTTATTCAATGGAGAAAGCAGTTAAGAGCAGACACAGGGAGAACTGATGGAGAAATTGTATCTATCTTCTCTGGACTGTGTTTTATTACTTTTTTCCCTCTCTCTCACATCTGAGTAGATGTTTTGCCAACCAGAAAATAATTGGGGGACAGAAGGGTGTTGTAAGGTGCAAGAATGGACTTTCTACATCTAATTTAATATTGTATTTCATTAGTTACCTAGAGTAACTTACATGAACAATGTATTTTGAAATAACTAATAAAACTTACCTACACAGTTCCCCACCCATGGGCAATGATGGTCGAATTTCGCTATACAACGGTTGCACACACCACAATGCTTGGACCTCACTGGTTTCCGTATCTGTTAATAGGCATGTTAAAAAATTATGAAAGGCACTATATCTAAGAAAGGAAAGCTGAACATTTATTTCTAAAAATACAATTATGAAAAAAATAAAACTGTATTTTTTGGAAAAGGATTATACCAAGGTTTCCAAAGGAACAAAACCAAACAAAAATCACTCTTGTTTATCTTTCAGTGTCTCTTGAGATCTCAGACTAAGGTACAGCACTCTCCCTGCTAAAAGGCAGGACCTTATCTAAGAAACTGTAACATGCCTGGGAAGTTTAGACAGTCCTATTCATACTATTTGTTGCCAAAAATATAAAATGCATTCGCCTCTTGATAGGCAATAAAGAATTCATGTTTATGATGCCTTACTATTTTAAATGTTGTGAAATGTTTTTCTCTACATTATTCTAAATCAGCCAACTGAATACAAGAAGTCATCAGTGATCTTCAAAGAGCTGCTAGTCCCAATGCTGGATACACGACAAGAGCTAGTTATTAACCCTTACCAGAAACAAAATTTATAACATCCTTCATTGGTGTTTCAATAAAAGCACTCACATTTCCCCAACATCTTGCATAAGGTTATATACTATTTTGAGGTACTAAAAAAAGGCATGGATGGACTATGTGCTTCTTACACGTACTAAAGTAATCTGTGCACCAAAGAAAAGGATGTTATTCTTCACCACAGATATGATACTAAATCTATTAGGAGAAAGAAATAGACTACAGCAAATTCTACCCCTACCTCCCACTCTTACCTATATTTCCCCTTTGGACAACACTTGTCAATGAATTCTAAGCAAAAACGGACACAAGGCTCCTGAACAAAAGAGTCTCCTTAGTTCACTTAAAGAGTGATTCATTTTTAGGAAATCCTGATATACATGTGCTTCTTAGGGACTTGTGTGTTTTTCAAAGTGAAGGATACCCGTATAATGACAAATACCTCTGTCAATATGAATCATTTTATAATAAATAAGATACATTTTTTGCCTTATAAAACCAAATTATCTATCCAGAAGTACACAGCTTACAATAATATAAAATTTTTGCTATGATGACAAAGATAGTCTTGTTCTTACCATAAGATATTTATTTACTAATGAATCTGTATTGAGCAACTCTACAATTCGTTTGCCATATGGCAAATACACTTGACTTTGCAGAACAGAGTATTTTCACAGAATAGTTAAGTATAAAATGTCCCAAATGTTAATACTAATTCTGTAAATTCCCCATTGTAAAGCACAGAAACAAAAACCTTTTTAAAGCACGCTTAAAATACAAAAGAATCTAGTCAGTACTCTAAAGTTGCTATCAAGAGTAAATAAAGCAGTACGTATTTTGAACATTCAAAATCGTAACTGTTCAGTCAAAAAAATGTTAAGTGAAACAACTTAATAGAATCTGTGGAATTAGAGCTCAGTTTCAAAAACTCATTCCAGAATCCTAAACTAAGTCAATTATTTAATTTATTTTATTATCATTCAAATGTTAAGACATCAGTTCAGTTGCAGTGTATAACTTAAAGGTATAAAAGAGCATTTAGTTTCAAGCATGATTTGGGGATATTTCCACTTCCATGCAGGAAAACATGGTTTAAGCATTGTGGCAGTCCATACATTTTTCACAGGAACTAATTATAAAAATTAAGCAGAAAATCATTAAAACACAAAGCAATATTCTATAGAAAGTAGATGTCTATAATAATAAACAATGTCAGTATTACTATACCTGATTTCATAAGTAAATGCCATTTAATTTCATATATAGCTTTATCTATGACCTGGTTGAAGATGACAGCTTTTACCATCAGTGATAAAACAGTGCTCAAAGCTGCATAAACACTCTACTGCAGACAGATAACTGCTCTAGTTGAACCAGTTTAGAGGCCATGTTGTCTTAATAGTTATCTAATGGATTTCCCACTGTGACCTTTAAATGTAAGAATAAATTTTCTTAAAATGTAATTAGGATAACAGTATATTAGGGAATCATAGTAAACTTTTGATGTTAAATACTTTATTAGTTTCTTACTTGAATTATATTTTAAGTGAGAAAAAGAGAGTAAGAACGAATACAAATGAACAGCACCACTGAATCACAAGTGCAGTTAAGGGCCACCATCAGGGGAATGAGCACTGGGAAGGACACGTCTTTTCACCATCTTGCTCTTGTATCATGGTCTAAAAGGCATTTGGGGGGCGGGGTGGGAGGCTCCTGAAATGTGCTCAGTGAAAGAAACTTCTGGTTTCCCAAACTCTCTATACAATACCACTGCTAGGGGAAGAAGAGAGAGGGAAGAATAAAGAAAAAAATACTACCAAACAGGTACTGCAGAATATACTGAGGTCCAGACTTCCTGTCTCTGCAAGTTCAACTATTGTCTGTGAATTAAAAAAATAAATTTTACTCAAAACTGAACAATATTCACCAACCACTGTGACACCAATATAAGTATCAATAAACATGATGTTCATTTTAATTAACCGTTTTCAGCTGAAAATAATAAATATCTCTCCACTTACTTCTGCTATTTCATTACAGTATGAATACAGGAGTTTTATTCCTTGGATATACGAAAAAGCAACCTAACTTAGTTATGGGAATGCTCCTCTGAGAATAAATCTAAGTCAACTTCCCTAAGAACTAGTCTATACAGCTTTGACGGTTACGAGACGAATATAAACCTAAGTGCAATAAAGCACTGGACCTTCAAAGCTGGATTATCACTAAGAAAACCAGGCAAGCCAATTAGCAGTTGTGTCTAAAGAATTCTGGAACATAAGGGCAGCACTCCTTATGTAGCCTAGAGAGAGAAACATGAAATTTAGAAATGTCATGGAAGTGTAAGAGTAGGCATCACAAAGCACCAAAGGTGAGCACCAAATACACACAATCTCAGTTTGGTTTGAAATGTCCTTGTAGTCCAAAACACAGTTTCCTTCTTTGTATTCCTCTAATATCTGCTATAAATACTGATAATCTGGCAATAAAACACACGTGACTAGTTAGATTGTATCTTGCTACCTTTTTCTTCTGTTCTTCTGTAGCTTTAATAATCCCTGGATCTGATTTCCAAGATTTTCCAAAATTGTAGAAAAGTGCAACACTATTGGCAAGGAATGGAAGATGGATAAACAAAAAATTGAGATGTGCCTAAAGTTAAGGAATCTAAAGAGGCAATGAAAACTAGTTTTTATTATAGGTAAATTTATAATCTGTGAAATTTCATCACACACACACAAATCTACAAAAAAAAAAAAAACCCAAGATGGTTTATTTATTACATCAAAATAGATGACATCTATAAGTTAGTCTATCTATTACATCAAAATAAATACATTTTCCCACTGTGCTCGTAAGTAAATGTAAAAGATGTGATTTCTTTATAAACTTTAAATCGTATAGGGTAGGCTTATCTGACACTTTTTATAAGTCAGTATTATTTTTAAATGATAATTATTTCTTTTGACAAAAATGAAGAGATTTCTCATGTTCAACGTTATTAATATATTAATTTATTTATATGCATTAAAATCTTTATATTTTCTATCAAACACTTAGATATTATACCCATATACTTAAAAGACTGCTTTTACATTCTCTTCATTGCCTTTTTTAAACACATTCAAGTTGACCTTAATTTTAGAAAAGGTATTTATAAACTTTCTTAAAACAGAAATAGTTTCTATGTTCACATTCTTCTTCCTAATGAAGATATAAAAAATGTTACTAGGCACTTATAAGTGAAGAATCAAAGACTATTTTCAATAATACTAGGAAAAATAAAGCAATGTTGCTAGAGCAACACATTTCTCAAACACAAAATATACAGAAAACTCAAATACCATTTTCAAGATTTTACGTAGGCACAAAAGCTGTCCACAAAATTTCCTGTGATAATGGCGCCCTCCCTGTAAAATTCTGTAAAATTTTTGGGCATTATCATGTATACATACTCTTTACATTTCTTATGAAGCACAAATAAGAAAGAATAGCTTCTTGAATGAAACAATCCTATATTTGGTAAATACCAAAACCTAAATAACTGTTTAAAATACAGGAGGGGGAAAAAAGGGAGAAGAAAAAGGGTAGGTATTATCACCTGCCATACACAAAAGTGTTTCTTCTTTCTCCAGTCCCCTATTTACTCCCAACTTTCACCATCATAAAGAATGGGGGAATAAGTCCCCCAAATCCATGAGTACAGTCAGCAGAGAATAAACAGAAAAAGTCCAATTTTTGGCTCTTCTAATAGCTAAAAATCTCTTAAGAATAAAGATGGGTAAAGGACCTATTGATAGCACAATGGACTATACTCAATAACCTGTAATAACCTGTAATAGAAAAAAATCTGAAAAAGAATATATATATATATACATATATGTACACAAAAAACTGAATCACTCTGCTGTACACCTGAAACCAACACAACATTGTAAATCAACTATACTTTGATTTTTAAACAAAGAAGAAAGCTGGGTAAATGTATGTCCAAAGAATGCTGAACCGTGCCATTTATTTTTCAGGGGCAGTATCGTTACTTACTATAACAGTTTCAAAAAGTGCTAACATTTAAGTAGATGTGTCAGGTTCTGACAGTCTGTATTATAAATTTGCAGGGAGTGAATCAGCAGCTAAATGACTACAGATTTGGAAGGGATAGGAATTAAATATCAGATGAACATAAGAATTTCTTTGCTTGTTTTTTAAAGATAAAGAGATTAGTTTTTTTCAAATGGCAGTTTAAACTTATCTTTATCAATAGGTCAGATAAGTTAAATTTCAAACATTTAACAGAAACGTATTTTTGGTATGGTTGTTTTTTGTAATGGTTTAAAACAACCTTTTTTCTTGATGAAAATTAGAAGACACTAAAAAGTATAAAGACAAAAAGAGTAACTCCACAACCTACAGATAATTCCTTTTATTTTTGGTATTCTGTATTTTTAATCATAATTGAGATCATAGTGTACTTATAAACATTAACCAAATAACTTTATTTACCACCAACTATGTGCACTGAAGCCGCACAAAAACTCTATGATAAAGCCTGCTGATGTCCCCATAACAAAACTGAGGCAGAGGGTAATCAGGCAGTCCAAGGTCATAGGATGGATTAGAGGTCAAGCTGGTATTAGAACCTAGACACTTACTACCTGTGCTCTTCTGCCTCTTCCAAGTGCTCAGCAGAATATCCTGGGTCATTACATATTATGGGAAGAGTATCTTTTGAGTATTAACATTTTAAAATCGTGATATTTTTATACTGTCAGATTATTTCCAGAAAGATATACGCCAATTTATAATCCCACTAGCAGCACATACTCATTGATCACTATACTTGTATTAGCATTGAGTAACGGAAAAAAGTTGCCAGTTTTAAAGGCAAGAGCAGCATTATTTTATTGTCTTAATTTGTATTTATGCATTTATGCTTAAACATCCTCAAAATGGAAATAAATATTTTTCATCAATGTTTTCATTTAAATGTTCATGGAGTTTTTTCCCATTTAACTCTTCAATCTACTTGGATGTTATTTTGATACCTCCTGTAAACTGTAGCTCTAACTTACCATAACACCCCCAAAAATGAACCAAAACCAGTAAATCAAACAAACCAATTGCACCACAAAATACCAGGGACAACTTCAGAAAGAGGACAAGCCACACTGTACCATAAAGTTCAAACTGGAGGTCAAGGAAAGAAGATTCTGGTGAGACAGGCTCCCTGGGGTGGTTCTTAATCCCACCTCCACCCTTATGAGTGGTGAAAAGGAAATATAGATGAGAAGACAAAGTCAGAATTCTCATTCATCCCTCTCCGGCCTTCTGCCATGGACTGAATCATGCACCACCCCCTCTCAAATTCGTATGTTGAAGTCTTAACTTCTAATGTGATTATATCTGGGGATAGGTCTTTAGGAGATAAGTGAGGTTAAATGAGGTCAAAAGAGTGGGGCCCTAACCCAACACTGTGGACTGTGGAGGAGGAAAGGAAAGAGGAGGAAAGGAAAGAGGTCTCTCTCACTTTCTCCCTGCCACGGGAGGACACAGGGAGAAGGTGGCTGTCTGTAAGCTAGGAAGAGAGCCCCACCTGAACATAACCATGCTGGCATCCTGATCCAGAACCGTGAGGAAATTAATTTCTGTTGTTTAAGCCACCCACTTGAGAGTAATCTGTAACAGCAAAGATTTATATATCAGAAAGAAGTCACATTTCTCTAAATTATTCTGAGCTTAAATAGAATTTCAATCAAAACTGCAAGAGGCATCCCATGGAGCTTAAGGAACTGATTCTAAAACATGTAATTATTCTAAACACTTACAGTATAAAGGGCCAAAAAGAGCTAAGATATTCCTGAGACACAACAAAGTTGGGAAGCTTGGCCCACCAGACATCACGAGTCAATAACAAAGCTACAGTAATAAGATAATACAGAACTGGCACAGGCAAGTAGATCAACCAACTGAATAAAGGAAATGATAAACGCCAAGGCTGATATTGCAACTGAAAGGAAAGAGGTGTGTTGGAGCAATGAGTTCTCTAATGAGCAGAAAGATACATCATTCATTATACACAGTAGCAAATACACATGAAGTAAGAACTTTTATAAGAGAATATCTTTAACGACTTCAGAGAAACCTGCACATGTGCATAAAAAAAGATATACAAGAATATTTGTAGAAATATTGCTGAAATTCACAGAAGGTGATGATTGGATTCCTAAAGACAGGTATTAAAAAGCTTAGAAAACATGAGAAGGAAACCAGGAGAGATACATATAAAACTGAAGAAGTCCTAATAGTAAACTATAGGAAAAAAATGCTTAAAAGGAAAATGCATAGGAGAGAATGGTGAAAATGGTAATTTTGCACTGTTTTCCTTTTTACGTATGTAATCACCTCCAGTTCCAGAAGTTCTTCACATCCATCTTAAGAAGCTTGATTTAACTTATATAAACTTAAAGTCTGATTGAAAAATAATTTTTTTAGACAAAAAATTCGTAATAATCTATTTCAAAAGTGATGTCAACACAGTAACAGTTGACTGTTATGACAGTGGATTTTACATTTGTTTGATTATTATGAAAGAAGTATGGTCAACGAACAAAATTTTCAAACAAATAAAAGCACAAGAAAAAAAGTGAAATCATTCATGAAATCTCACAGCCAGAGATAACCAGAGCTAAAACTGCACGTACTCATTTTCAGTTCTTATCTTTCACACATTTTAAAATTAGAATCTCTCTGTAAATACAACTTAGTATTTTTTCATGTATTATATCCTAAGCCCACATTGTTAAGTCTTAGAAAAGTGTTTTAATGTCCATATTACCCTGCGTCAGGTGTTGCATAACTGATAAAAATATCCTCCTATTCAGGATGGTCATTTAGGTTGTTTTTCCATTTTTTTTCTTTACAGTACTATGGTAAACATCCTTGTAAATAAATCTTTGATCTTATTTATTATTATTTACTTATGAATAATTAAGAGATCAAAGGGTATTTTAAAAGCTGTTTCACAGGTTGCCGAATTGCTTTCCAAGAAGATTTAGGAACTTAAAAATTATGTTCATAGTTTAGGACATTTGAAGATAAACTGTATCACTTCAAAGAGCTGGGTTCTATACCAGAGTCTTGATAATTATGACCTATGTAACTGTGAGCAAGACACACTACTTCTCTGAACCTCAATTTTTCCATCAGTTAGAAATAGCATTACAATTTATGTGGTTTACTTTTTTAATTTCAAAGAACTGTTCTGAGAACCAAATTAAATATATCTGAAAGAACTATAAACCAAAAAAGCACTGAACAAATGCAACATGTATATGGGGTAATACTTACTTAATGAATAGTAGAAAAGAATAAAAACTTATTTATTATAACAGTTTATATCAATATAAAACTCATTATCACCACAAAACACTTAAGTTGGGTAACATGAGAAACTAAAATAATATTTATACAGTTGATCCTCATACTTACTAGCTAAAATTTATTTGTAACCTCTAAATAAATATTCACAGCACTTACGCAGTCATTTGTGAATATGTGCAAAGCAACAAGAAACACAAGTTGCCCAATGCACACATTTCCAAGGCAATACTCTGACTTCTTATTTCCTATTTGTATGAACTTGCTGTTTAAAAATGGTCTCCAAGCATAGCGCTGAAGTGTCATCTGACGTTCCTAAGAGCAAGAAGGCTGTGCTGTGCCTCACAGAGCAAATGTATGTGTTAGATATGCTTTGTTCTGGCATGGGTTACAGTGCTGTTGGCCGTGAGTTCAATGTTAATGAACCAACGATAAATATTAAATTTGGTGTTTAAACAGAAACATATGTAAAACAAGGTTATGTACTGAATGGTTGACAAAAATGGTGTGACCAGAGCCTTGCAGGAATCTAATCTTCTTTTTCTCCTAAGAGTAATGGGTTCAATATTTAATAATTCATCATTTACAGTAACTTTATAGAATACAACTATTGCAAATAATAAAAATGGACTGTAACTGTATTTTTCAAAATTAGTCTAATCAGCTTCAATTACATATGTACTCCTGAGTTGCATGAGGGAAGTGGCAGAAGCAACAGCAAAGAGGCTGAGGTCAGCAAGAGAGACAGTCCACATATTAATTAACATTCTGTTCAGAACAGTAACAAGTCACTGAATACTGCATACCATTTAAAATATCTTACATATTTTTATAGTAATATTTTAAAAAATGATTGGTTAACATTTATGAAACATACCTTTATTATACTAAAACAGACATACGAATTAAACTTTTGCTATTAAAAATATCAAATGTTGACACTGGCCTTATTTCTGTGATACACACATATGCACACACACACTGACATTCAAATTACATTACTTTTGAAAAGTATACTACATTGAAATAATTTGCTGAAGTTAGCAAATATTTGAAGATACAGCATTACATGCTTTACATGAAGCAAAAAAGAAAATTAACTGTTACCAATCACAGCAAAACAGCAAGCTGTGAAATTAAGAAAACACTTAGAGAAAATAGTTTTACGTTGAAAATCACAGTTTAGTAAAAAGGTTTAGAACTTGTCTTATAGAATCAAAGACACGTTTCTACCCCAGCTTATTAAAGACTAGCTGTGTGGCCTTGGGCAAGGACACTAGCTAACCTATTTAAGCCTAAATTTTCTCATCTATAAAATAGAGACAACAGTACTAACATATAGCATGTGTACTCAATTAGCACAAAGTATTTAACAAAATGCCCCTAAAAACTCAATAAATGGTATCTATTATTGATGCTGTTATTAAAAGCAGCTTTCAAAAGCAATTCATTAAATATGAAACATTTAAAACCAGTATTTACATTAGCTCACATTTAGTATTTTTCTAGGAGTACTGTTTTACTGTAGCAAGCATATTGTGAGTAGCTCAGTCCTAATGTTAAATTATTGTTAAACATTTGTCTAAATAACAAACAGAAACTACTTTAGATAAGAGCTTTATAACCAAAGGATATCATTCCAAAACCAGAAGAACCATGTCACATACATCCAGAATTTGGTTGCCAAATATATTCCAAGGGGCAATGCACTATGCATTGAATGATCAAAAAAGGATCTGTAAAACATAAGTTTTATAAAATTTGAACTCTATTTCATTGTAAAAAATGAATATTTATTTATTTAAATGGAAATTATATACATTCTTCATAGTAAGCTCTTAATCAAAATCCAGAAGTTCAGGTTGCTTAAATACTAAGGCTGTTTTCATAGTAATCAATAAGAAATGAATTCACAGCTGAATGGCTCAGCAAGAATCTGAAGCTCCTTTAATTCATCAAGAATTGAAATTAAATTCTATGTACTTTTCAACTTCAGAATTTCAATGTACTCCTATTCTCTAAGTCAATAACTCACTTTAGTGTATATAGTAACTCTACCACCCAGCATATTACTACTAAAGACATGTTATAATATTAACTAATGAGCCCACAGCAATCCTCAAGTTTTTCTCTAAGTTTCATCATTATTTCTCCTTACCTACATACTCCCATTAAGTTTTCAGCACATCTTTTCAAAGAGAATGAACTGGCTAATTGAGAGGAATTAAAGGTAATTATTTACAGTGCTTAGAATTCAGGAAAAATAAATGCTAGTAAATTTTATTAAGCATAAACAGGATCAACCATCCATGTAGGCTAAGTAGGAAGCGTTGGTGAATTTCTATTTATAATAGCCTTTGAGGCACACTTAGAACACTAAAATGAGATTAAGTACCTAGAATTAAGCCTCTTTCTGAGAATTGACGTATTAGTGTATTATTAGTCATTCTCATCTCTGTGTGAGTTATTTTCAGAAGTCTTTTTTGAAATTCTGGTGAAAACAAGGTACTAAAGAAATGGGGATGTGCTGGATGAACAGCTAAGGATAGGAAGAAAAGGAAATGATCACAATGTTTAAAGAAAAAAGAGGGAGGAGAAAATGTTTTGAAAACGGAGCCTACTTTGTATGCTTAGACTCCTTGTGCTAAAATCAAACCTCTTTCTTGCATACTGCCTACGACCAAAGACAATGTAATTCCTATAGAAAGGTAAGCTCAAGCATTATCGTCACCTAGAAATAAGCAATGCATACACTACATTTACAGTTCAACAAACTCAAGTCCACTTCCACAGAAATGTTTTAAAACTGTATTTTAGACTTAAAAAGTATTTGTTAGATTTTGTCACTAAAAGCACCTTTAGAGTCATTTTTAACAAAAATGATTTCAGACATAAATCTGCTGAAATTCTTTAACATTAAATTCTTTAACATTTAATTCTTTAACATTAAGATCAAACACATTACATAAAGGCTGTGTTCTAAATATACAAAACAGTAATTTTATACAGCCAGGTCCAAACTACATTCTTTCACGTTCAGTTAAAAATATAGGTAAAAAATGACACACTTACTTTGAAAGAAACTGTACTGTAGCCCAAACGCCACCATACATTAGCCCTTTAATGAGCCAAGAATCAATATTCAGGTCTGCTATAAACCCAACCAGCCAAATAACTAGGAAAGGCGTTCCCAGCATTACTTTCTGCCGAAATTCCTGTATAGAAAAAAACAGAGGGAAAGTTTTGCATGCTTCAAGTAACCTCAATGTGAATCACTATAATCTCTGTGAAAATGTACAACAGGGGTGAAATTCATTGATTCTGCCTACTGTGTGCAGATACTATTCAAGGTGTTAGTCTCTGTCTTCTAGAGAGTGGCACTAAATAAACAATTTAAAAGTACTTGGTGTGGAAAATGAGATCAGAAGTTGTAGGAGTGAGT